TGAATCTATGCAGCATGTACAAAAATCAGTAATCAATGCATGATCGATATAATCTACAATCATCGGTAAAAGAATTGATAAACAATAAGAAGAAATCCATAAAGCTCAATAAATCAGTACATACGTCAAATCTCAGAGGAATCCATAAACAGTAGAAAAATCTATATTCAGAAGAATCTAAATTAAATCGATCAGTTACATCGATAGAGAAAAATTGTCGTCACGATAATAACCGTTAAATCAATATCGTATCAATAGAATCAATCAAATCAATTATCTCTGGTCAATAACATCAATCGGTATGAAATCATATAAAACAATCAAACCAATACAGCGTAAGAACGATTGAAATCAAATCAATACAGTAAAACCTATTCCATATAAGTCAATGAATCACATGCAGCAGTTCAATACGGTGTATCAATGAAGCGATAGTGTCAATGAATCAATATCAATGAATCAATAGTATCCATGTCCATAGTAACAATAAGTCAATGCAATATCGATATCCATATCAGTATCAATATCAATGCTTAGTGACATGATGCGAATATCAATGAAATCGTACAGTAACAATGAATCCGTAAATCCGTCAGTAAATCCATTCAAAATCAATAAATCAATAATCAATATAAAAAGTCCGTCGATATCAATAAATCTATAAATCCATAATGAGATCAATATGTCAATATCGTACTTATGCAATTCAGTACAGTAGTCTTACTGAACAAGTACAATCACTGGCTATTAAGGCATTTTTCAAGTCGATAATCCATTGTGTTGTTGTAGAAATCCATAAATATATCCGTTGGCTCAATAAGAGTCGTCACTCTGTGCCCGTCAGCCGTCCGTCGGCATAATAATCTCCTTATGACTCACAATCGTTATATCAATGATCAATAGAGGATATCGCCAAACCCTTTTTAAAAGAAAGCCCGTCGGCTCACCATCCTGTACAGGTCAAGTTAATCTCCAACCAACGGTTCAACCAGTCTTCACTTGTCTTTCAGTAACAATAACAATAATTCAATCATATATTCACATTCGTATGCATATCAATAAATACAATTTAGCTCAATGAAGAAAAACCCCCTTAAAATATCGTATAGTAGACAGACGTCGTTGCAAAAATGCACAGTTGCAAAAAATTACCGAATTACCAGAAATCAAAGAAAACAACGTTTCAAAGCTTTACTTGTACTGAAGCAATAATTTCCAACATCTTGATAATTTTCTATTCGATAAAAATCGCACAGAATTCAAAATAACCGGTAGAAACTTTACAGAAAATACTCAAATCGTGTAAAAATATCATATCGGAAACATATCAAAAGTTGTGCGGTAAAACTTTTGTTAATACAAAATTATGCACATTTTTTCGATAACGGAAACACAAAACTAAGCACAGAATTATCAAAACTCAAAATCTTTGAAATCAGAAATAGGATTCGGAGTCTTTACTTCGAGACAAATAAATCTTCCAACTGCGTCGTCGGACGAAAAGGCTCTGTGGCCTCCAAAAATCAAGCTTTCCCTTCTCTCTCCTGCTCTTTCTCTCTCTCATGCTTTTTCTCTCTCCTCAAAATATTTCCAAAATATCTCAAATGCGATATTTATCAAGCAGGATCGTCCAGGACAATGCCGAGATCGTCCCGGGACGAACTCCTCTGGACACGGATCGTACAGACGAAATTAATTCCAATTTATTTCGTCCCTAGACGATGCTCTCTGTTCGGTTCGTCCCGACCCTTACAGGTTCATCTAGACGAAATTGACAGATTCTTCACAATTTTCTTCAGTTCGTCCGGGACTAAGGCCAGTTCGTCCGGGACTAACAGCACCCAAAAAATCAGATTCGGAGGGATTTTACACTATATATGAGATACGTAGCTTCCTAAGCATGGCCGATTATTATAAAAAATTTATGAAAGAGTTTTTCTAAAAAATTTGCACCTTTGATGCGTCTGATGTAGAAGCTAATAGCTTTTGTTTGGACATCTAATTGTAAGGCCACCTTTTAGAAGATAAAAGATTATTTAATTTTTTCTCTAATTCTGGCATTTTCATATGGTATAAAAGAATTTTCTGTATTCAATGATGCTTCACTAAAAGGATTAGGATGCATTCCGATGCAGCATAAAAAAGTTATAACTTTGGCCTCTAGATAGTTATAACCATATGAAAGGAATTATCTGACACATCATATGGAACTTACTGTTATGATAATTATTTTAAAGATCTAGAGACACTATCTGTAAAGAGTCAGATGTGAGACTTTACTAATCATCCAAGTCTAAAGTATATACTTACTCAGAAAGATCTAAATTTGAGATAAAGAAGTGGCTAGAGTAGATCAAAGATTATGATTTGACTATTCAATATCAACTTAACAAAACAAATGTGGTAGCACATGCACTAAGCATGAAATTTTTTGGATTATTATATATTCAGCTTACTTCTGATAAATCCTTGATTCAGGATATGGGAAAGCTTCGATTAGAGATGATTGCTCTTGCTGATCTTAATTATGATATTCTTGCTCAGATGATTAGTTAACCTTTGCAAGAAAATAATTTGGAAACCTAAAAGTTAGATGCAAAATATTTCAGGTTGATTGATCTAATTAAATATGATAAGAAATTTGGATTAAAAGTACCTGCTTCTGATATTATCATCTGTAAGAATAAGCTTTGAGTTCCTAATTCAGAAGATCTGAGATGGGAGATTTTACATGAAACTCATTATTCAAGTTATATTGTTCATCTAGGAAGCAACAAGATGTATAATGATTTGAAAGTTATGTTTTGGTGGCCTGGATTGAAAATAGATGTAGGAGATTTTGTATCTAAATATGAAGTCTTTTAGTTAGTGAAATCAGATCATTAATAACGAGAACATTTTCTACAAACATTGCCCATTCCATAATGAAATTGGGAAGAAGTGATAGATTTTTCTATAGATTTTCCCAGATTGAGATAGGGATATGATGTTGTTTGGGTTGCAGTGGATTGTTTGACAAAACCAACTCATTTTATTATGATTCGGCAGCTTGATTCTATAGACAAGTTTTTATAGGTACATGTGCTTGAGATTCTTAGATTATATGGAATACAAAATGTTATAATTTTTGACAGAGATGATAGATTTACCTTCAGGCTATGGAAGTGTATTCAACAAGATCCATGTACAAAATTATATTTTAAAATAACTTTTCATCCGCAAACTGATAAACAATCTGATTGGATTATTCAGGTACTCGAAGACCTTATGAGATTATATGTTATAGACTTTGGTGACAATTGAGAAGGCCACATTCCTCTGTTTGAATTCACTTATAACTATCAATCAAGTAACCATTTTCTTAAATTTGACATGTGAAATCTAAAAAAATGTATATCTACTAAGAAATAAAAGTACATTCAAATCTAAATTTTAATAATATAATTTAAACCCCTTCATCAAAATATCTAAAATACAAGCTAGTATCAAATGGTCCTTCTCTCGGACTAATGGAGCTAGGGCTAGCCTAAAACCCTAGCTCAGCATGAACAGCTATGAGCAAACATCAGCCTGACAACAACTCCCATCAATAATCTGTCATTTTAAAATTCTCCTTACATAATTCTAAGGAAATATACCAATCAAAATCATAATAATTAACTTAGAACAATTCTATAGAGTTTAGGGTTCAAATTCATCAACAGTAAAAAAAATGTCAATGAGACTGCCCATTGATCACTGCCAAAGGTCAAGATGATCTATCAATGAGCCAACCAAAGAAGGGGATCAATTAGCCCCTCTAAATTTAAATGAAAATTTAACTCTTAATAAAGAGAAATTATTCTGTACAGACACCAAATCGTTCGGAGGCGAATCAAAACGTGTCACATCACCCGGTACGCATCGGATTGTCCAGAGGCAAATCAGAACATGTCATGTCACCCGATATACAACCACGATACACAACAAATAGATGATGTGATTTGTTCTAATTTGCCTCCGAACGGCGTCCGTATCCACAGAATAATATCACCTTAGTAAGATCCAATGAAGAAAAAAGATTATAGGATAAAAACTTGAGTTGTTGTAATTCAACAAAGACCAAACCATGCTTATTATTGGATGATGGGATCTATCACGTAAAAACCATCAGTTAACTACAAATTTACAACATTCAAAGTTTATTTAATCCTTAGAATAATTTAAAAAAATTATCAATTTTTTTCAGCATTTTAAGATATCAAATTTGCATCATTCATTATTATGAGATGATAAATTTCAAATCCAAACTATGATAAGAAAACATAGAGAAAAAATTCACTCTAACTTACAAACAAATATTAAATGAGCAATTCTTTTAATCACCCAATTATTCATATATAACCATTTTATCCCCAAAGTATAACATTACTCAAATTTAGGATAATTTATCATGTGCGAACACCAGACGGTCGGGAGGCCAATAAGAATGCACTACGTCACCCAATACCTAGCAATACCAAGCATCAGTACCGAGCAAAAAATAACATGACACATTCTAGTTGGTCACCGGAAGGTGTCCGGTGTCGGCATAGAATAATTTCACCAAATTTAGTCTCTTGACTATATAAAATTGATCCTTTTGGGACTAAATTAGAATCAATTTTATAAAGTGAGAACTAAATTAAGATCAATTTTATATCACAATTATGATATAAGATACTATTTTGGATAAATTTTGTACAATCAAGGGAGATTAGATTGGAACAACATGATACTCTCAGACTAAATTGATCATACACGAAATATAAGAGACTATTTTGGATAAATTTTATACAATCAAGGGAGATTAGATTGGAAAAACATGATACTCTCAAACTAAATTGATCATACACAAAATATAAGAGACTATTTTGGATATATTTGTACAATCAAGGGAGATTAGAATGGAACAACATAATACTCTCAGACTAAATTGATCATACACGAAAAGTTTGAGGCCTATTTTGAAAATTTTCTAATTTTTTTATCAAACTCTATTTAAATATTTCTTAAACAACAAATAAATAAGAAGTGTTCACAAACAAACATAACCAAAAAAAAAAAAACATTTTCAAACCTATACAATCAACTACTTCAATGAGCATAAACAACACTCAAACCATAATAAACTATTTGTCGAACACATTGGTTCACTAACACTTCTAATAGCCTGCTGCAACTCCACCCCATGCTTTTCGCCTGAAGACACGAGAAATGCTGCACCTTTGCGTCGTTATTTGAGCTTGGAAGTCTCAACAAAGCCCATGTCGACCATCACTCTTCTCTGGTCACTTCCCTTTCACCTAGAGCTCCCTCCCCTATAAGGCCACCTTCTCTTGGTAGTCCCACAACAACAAAGCTTATACCTGGTTCAGATAAACGGGATTCAAAATGAGTATCAGGTTGATTTCCAGATCCTCGAATGATTACAGATGTGTGTGGTTCTTCCCCAGCACTGTCATAGGTGTTCTCCCCTTCAGAGGGGGCTCTAGCTTCCCGGGCGGCTCGAGCAAGCCTAGCCTTCCGGTTGTTTAACCTGGAATCCAAGCAAAGTGGGGGAATTTATAGGAAATTTGTAATCTTTCGGCAAAAGATGAATTCATGTCTAACATTCAAATCATTGCTAGGAAACATAGGTGTACTGGTGGAGAGATTATTCTGTGCGGACACCGTCTAGAGGCGAATCAGGTGTAGCCACGACATCTAGTAGCGAGCAGTACTGAGCCGCGACACCGAATAGGGGTTGACGTGGCGCATTTTCATTGGGCTCTGGTCGGCATTTGTCGTCCGCACAAAATAATTCATCGTACTGGTGAGCACCCATAAACTTCACAAAACTCTACGGATGATAGTTTTGTTGTATTTTTGAATGATTTGAGTGGATAAATTGCAAATGGAAACACTTGGATTTTAATTTTGAATGTATAATTAAATGAAATAAATACCATTTCAAAAGTAAATCATCAAATCATGACCTATTAGAATCACTTTAATTTTAAATGGTATACAAGAAAATGTTGCAGAATGTCATATAGTTTGATAATATGCATCTAATAATACAACTCAGAGATGGTAATGAAAAGGTATTGACTTAGTGGATGTAAAATGTATTTCTCCACGGAAAATCATATAAAAGTAGCCAGCAGACCGAACTGTATCAATTAATAGCCTTACAAAAAGTCACTTAGTTGAATCTTCTACTTAATGATATATCCTTTTTTTTTAACACTATTTCCATTTTTGCGGAGTGCTTCTTTATGGGGTATGGATGGCAGTTTGTTTTGTTTACTTGAGGTGATTGGAATCTAGTTTTAAAATTTATGATATAACAAGGGAAAAGATTAAAATAAAACTCTATGATAAAGACTTTAATCATCAAAATAAGAGGAAAAAAATTACGGTAGCATTTGAAAATTTCAGCAAAAATTGAGGTGATTTCTTACCAATTCTTTAGCTGAGAAGCTGTAATCTCTGATCCCTGGAAAAGAACTAAATTTTACGACTCAGCACACATAAACAATACTAGCAAAAGGAAATTTTAGCAATAGAGAAAAGAAGTATGAAAAAAAGAGGGAAACCTGTGAACAAAGCTTTTCTGCCCATGACTGTAACATAGCAGCATTCCGCTGCATCTCAGGCTCTCCAAGTAGTGCATTCTCAATTAGAGATATCTGCCTTTCATTCATGATATTACGTTTTCTCTTTCTTGGTTGCTTCTCTTCACTATGAACTCCTTCAGCTTTCTCCTCTTCTTGGAAAACAGCTTCTTTTGCAAACTCTGATCTAGCAAAAAATTTCCTTATATTAGGCATCATGATAAATAATATTTATCGAAATACTTCATAATTACATGACCATTTCACTAAAATACCATCAGAAAGATTTCATATTTGGTGGAAGGCTGCTTATGAGATAAAAACAATATTTTTTGGAAGGAAAAAATTATTAAGCTATGTTGCTGTTTTTCAAAAGATAATAATTTGGCTTATTTTATTAATTTAAAGATAGATTACAAACTTATAGCAATAATATATTTTGTATGTACTTTATAATAATTAACTTTTTTATCTACGAAAATCCAAGCAAAATCAACTTTTGTCAAATAGGTTTAGCTTTCCGAACTTCCAATAACAAACATAATAGCAACTTTATTAAATAACCCTCTACTACAACACAAAAAAGCATAGCACAATAAAATCCGACACAACATAGCACATCAAAGTAACATAGCCAAATGGCGCATAAAGAAAACAAGCTTGGCCTACCCTGCTTTGGAGCACGGGAAGTTAGCATACTTAGTGTATATGTGTCCAACAAAAAGTTTTTCATGAGGCATAAACTATAGGTGTCCTGATTCTCCACAAAATCAAAAGAATTTGTTAAATAGAATTAACGCAAACTGATAAAACGAATACTGAAGAAGAAGATTACTTCTGTTTGATAATATTTTAAATGCTATATAATTGTGTTACATGGATACAAACCAGCATTATTCTTAAAGCAGTGGACAAAGTGTTCCGTAGGTATTTATCCATTAATTTTGACATTCTTAGCGACTGTCTTCCTAGGGCAATGGCACTCCTTTCACAGTGAATACAAGTATCTATCGCTTCAAAGTGGAGTGGGTAGAATAGAAAGAAATGGGGATTTTATGTGATATATTAGTAAATATGAATGTTAGGTGTTAAATCTGTATTTTCAAAATTGTTTTAGGTGTTTGTATGTAAAAATCTCTTTTTTTAAATTTATAGTAACGGTGCGCTTATTTTTTTTCTAAGGCAGCCTCGAGGTCAGCGTATGTGCAATGCTTGCTGCACGCCAAGAGAGGCTCCAAACTCCAGGCTTTTGAATGAGCTGAGTGGTGTCCCGCCTTTTTCCGTCTTATATTAATACCTTTTATTGTCTGAAACATCATCAGGACTTGGGTTCAGCTTTTGGACAATAGATAAGGCCTGCCTACCTCCATTCTGAGCGTCCTGCAAAATATGCAAGCTAATTTGTTTAGACATATCACAAACGACATAATTAAGATTCATAGAAAAGACTAAGGTATAATCACTTCAGGGAATTTTTCCCCGGTAATATACCTGATGAGTTTTTATTGATATTTCCCAATTTGCAACTTTGCCCAAGGTTGGGCAAAGATTGCTGCAATAGGATTGGTTATCTTCAAGTTAATTTCCCACCTTCCCAGTTTGCATTGATGCCTACTAGGCACTTGCCATGAATGCAATGGCAGAATAACAGCTACTTGCTGCAAAGGATCGAAAGCGTGGCTAATCTTCTAAACGGAATGATGTGTTCCAGGGTTTACCCTGAGCATCAGTTGTCATAATTCTGGCAAGGTTGTTTCTTTAGTTGTTCGGTGAAAAGCTGCAACACAATTAAGCAATTTTAAAAGGAGGTCTTTTACCAAACCTAAATTGAAGAGGAGGAATAAATTATAGACCAACACAGCAATCGGGTAACTTTGGCCTAGAATCTAAAAAACTTCTGCCGGATTACTTAAAAAAAAAGGACATCCTACCCAAAAACTAAAACTTGGTTACCAAAAAAGTAAATATCAAGGGCATGATTATAAAATCAATTCACAGCAAAATCTGATCAATTCAATATTTTAGCTAAGTTAAATAATCAAAAACCTAATTAAGTGGAAACCAAGAATAAAAAATAACTTCTAAGGAACTTAAGTATAAAGAATAGCCACCCTAACTCACCTTCCTGAATTTAAAATCACTAGAAAGGCTCCTATGTTTCCCCGATTCGACTTTCAAAATTAAAAGTTGAATTCTGCGCAACAAATGAATCTTCCAAACTTAATATAGCTCCTATCTCATCTTGTTGGGTAGCTCAAAGGAAAGCCCAATTTGATCAAAGGGGATTTTTAGTGGGGGAGGGGGGGGTGGGGGGGGGGTGGGGGGGGGGGGGGGAGGGGGACGTGGGGTGTCAAGAGTCGGAAGCACCTTGTGCTTGGGAGAAATATGCTTCCAATCGATTCACACTGTACAAGCCTCATCACCAGTACAAACTCGAAACTATTGTAAAACTAGGGAAGGGAAAAGCCCTTAATAACAACAGACATTTGCCTAAGAACAGGAGATGAAAGACCATGAATAGGGCCCTTTTGAACTTCTAGGCTAAAGAAACATGTTGATCATATTGGCAAATGGGTTGGTGCAGAGAGAGGTTGAACCACCTCAAGTGAGGCTTAGAGCTCCATGCTAAAAGATGAGATTGCCATCCGATTAGCCAGCTTACATTCAGACATGTAACAATAAATTATGATCATTTTTCAAGAATTTTATTAGTGCTGTTGAAATTAGGGAAAATCTTTTGGTTCATGTTTTTTGTCCTTTTGTTCTTTTGTTCGGTACCCTATACGATCGTTAGTCTTTGATTCATTTTTATTAATTTATTATTTAGATTGCAAAGATTGTAAGTTATTCCGAGTGAAAATTTAATGTACCCAACATCGATTATTAGTTTTGGACTTTAAGATAAATGGGTATAAAATAAAAAAAATAAAGTAAAATATTTTTCTAGGATTAGATGGAGGCATTTTAAAGAATATTAACAAAATAATTTTTGAGAGTAAGATTTTAGATCTTAAAAATTTTGTCTATGCATGAGAATGCTAATGTTATGTGAGAAAAAGTTGCTAGTGATATTAAGAATATTGCAAAAGATGTGCTTGGAGTATCAAAGGAAAAATCATAATAGTTAAAAATAGTTGGTGGTGGAATCCAATTGTGGCAAGAAAGGATTAAAAATAAGAAGATTTGTTATAAAAATTGGTTTAATTTTAAAAATTCAAATAATTGGGAAATATATAAAGAGGTTTCGTAGGATTCTAAGAAAGCAATAATGCGATGCAAGACATTAGCTTTTAGTGATTTATATAATAGATTAAACTAAGGATGGAGAAAGAATATGTATAAGTTAGCCAAATAAAGAGATATGAGTAGTAAGGATTTTAGTTCAAGGTGAAGTGTATTAAAGATGAAGATAAAAAAAAAAATCCTTTTTCTTAGAAGATGATATTCAACAAAGGTGGATGAGATATTTTGCTGAACTCTTTTATGAACATTGTGAAAAATAAGATTGACTATAGTGACCTTAGCATCCCTAAATGAAAATAAAGATTTCTGTTTTTATCGGCGTATTAGTAAAACTGAAGTTAGAGAGGCTTTAAAGAAATGAAGGGTGAAAAAGCTGTTGGACATTGATGATATTCCAATAGAGGTGTGGAAATGCTTAGGAATGAAGGGATTTCTTGGCTTACTAAACTTTTTAATACTATTTTGAAAACTAAAAGATGTCAGATGAGTGGAGAATGAGTGTGTTAATTCTATTTTTAAAAATAAAGGTGATGCACAAGTTGTACGAATTATAGAGGTATTAAGTTAATGTGTCATACTTTAAAACTATGGAGTGTTGTACGAATTATAGAGGTTTAAGTTAAGTGTCATACTTAAAACTATGAGAGCGAGTTATGGAGCATAGGTTGCGGCGTGGTACTAATGTTCTCAAAATCAACTTGGATTCATGCCAGGTAGGTCGACTATGGAAGCCATACATTTATTAAGAGGTTTGATTGAGAAATATAGAAAAAAATGAGGAGGATCTACATATGATATTTATTGATTTAAAAAAAGCTCCAAGAGAAGTGCCTATGGATAGTTCTTGAAAAGAAAGGAGTTAATAATGCTTATATTCAAATCATTAAAGATATGTATGCAGGAGCTATTACTTGTGTTCAAACACAAGGTGGTTTGACCAAGTATTTCCCTATTTCGGTTGGGTTACATCAAGGATCAGCCTTAAGCCCATATCTTTTTGCTTTAGTCATGGATGTTTTCACTAGACATTTGTAAGATGATGTACCTTGGTGTATGCTTTTTGCTGATGATATTCTTCTTGTTGATAAGACTAGAGAGGGAGTTGAAGGTAAACTTGAATTATGGAGGTCAACCTTAGAGTCTAAAGGTTTTCGCTTGAGTAGATCTAAAACGGAATATATGGAGTGTAATTTTAGCAGTAATAGTCCTAGTGAGGGGATTGTGACTTTGGGCGATCAAGTCATTAGTAAGAGTACACGTTTTAGATATCTTGGATCTATTGTTCAGAGTGATGGTGAAATAGATGGGGATATTATCAGCAGAATTCAAGTTGGATGGTTGAAGTGGAGGAATGCATCGGGTTTGTTATGTGATAGAAATGTACCCCTCAAACTTAAGGGAAAATTCTATAAGATGGTAGTGAGGCCTGCAATGCTTTATGGTGCCGAATGTTGGCCTTTAAAAGAGAAGCATAATACTAAGTTAAGTGTGGCAGAGATGAGGATGCTCAGGTGATGAGTGGCTTTACCCTTAGAGATAAGATACGAAATGAGCATATACGTGAAAAGGTTGGAGTAGCTCCAGTAGAAGATAAGATTAGAGAGAGTCGCCTTAGATGGTTTGGTTACATAAAAAGGCGGCCTTCTGATGACCCTATTAGAAGAGTAGAGGTATTAGATTTGACTTGTGTTAAGAAAGGTAGGGGAAGACCTAAAAAGACTTGGTTAGACAATATTAGGAATGACCTTTCTTTATTAGATTTAAACGAGAATTTGACTTTTAATAGAACACAATGGAGAAAAAAGATTCATGTAGCCGACCCCACGTAGTGGGATAAAGGCTTGATGTTGTTGTTGTATTATGTCTAAAATCTAGGGTTGGTGTTAGATACGTTGTACTATTTTGTTTACTTGTGATTCCATAGATGATATAGGATGGTGAAGAATTAGGTTAGGTTTTCCTAATGCAACTAAAATCATTTAATGATTGTAGATCATAAAAGGAATTTAGAATTCACCACCAAAGATAACTAAATATGCAAGAACTTACTTTGTAGATGCAAAGTGTTAGATACGTTGTACTATTTTGTTTACTTGTGATTCCATAGATGATATAGGATGGTGAAGAATTAGGTTAGGTTTTCCTAATGCAACTAAAATCATTTAATGATTGTAGATCATAAAAGGAATTTAGAATTCACCACCAAAGATAACTAAATATGCAAGAACTTACTTTGTAGATGCAAAGTAGAAAAAGCAAAAATTAGAACCTAAACAACAGTGGGATATCAAATAAATTTGAAGAAATCAACAAGATATTATAATCATGCAAAATCAGCAAGAAATTATAATTTTCACCAAAATTACAACTACCAAATTTAAACAAAACCAAGAATACTAATGAGCAAAAAACAAGATATTTAGATAAAATTGGGTAAAATAAACAATTCACCAGCATAAAGGAAATCAATGCATTCTGTTAGTACAACGATTTGAATTATCCTAGACTTAGATAATTGTTAATTTTGTGTGAAATCTGATTGTGTCAATCAATCGGGTTGTATTGTTGACTCATACCTCAATTCCATTGGTCGAGCTTGTCTGTACAACAGGCACTTCGCTATAAATCCAGGGCTAAGGCGTTGTAAGTGGAATCTCTGAGATAGAGCACAGCGCTACAATGCTATAGTTCTAGCACTGTAGCGTTGTAGTTCACAACACCAGTCTGCTACAAGACAAAGAAGTCAGTGTCGAAGCACTGCAAGCCGGGTTGAGCAGTTTTTCTTATTTCACTTGAAAGGTGGTGTCCTTAGAGCATTGTAATGGGTCTCTTTGTTTGTTCTGAGAGTAAAAGGTGTGAGAAATGAAGAGAGACAAGGAGAGAGCGTGAGAAGAGATATTTCTACAATTTCTGCTATTTTCATTTCTTGGTGTGGTGTGGCTTAGTGGGGTTTTATTTTGTTTCGTTTTTTCCAAATTAAATCCCAATGTTCATTTCCACTGTTTTTCCTCTTTTCTTGTTTGTTTTTCATGCGTGGTTCTATTCCCAACAATAATCACACTAACACATAATCCATACTAACATCTTTCACAATAAAAGTAAAATCATGTTTTCTCAAAGTTCATGGTAAGCCTACCACAAAATTCATATTAAAATTCTAATAAGGTTATATGAAATTGGCAAAGATATATACAACCCAGTTTTATGTTTTCTGCCCTTTACAGACTAATAAATCATAAAATGAAATAATATATGCCACACCTCTTTTGAAGTTAGGCCAGTAATGCATATACTATCTCTCCAAAATGGCGAACATCAAACCAATATATACTCTCCCTCTTTTTTTCAAAGCGTACATAACTTGTTGC